CCAGCTGGCACTAAATTAAGATTGATGCTTCTTATCATAATTAGCTATCATGCAGATAGAGACAAAAATATATTAAATTTACAAAATAATGTGAAAAATTCAAGTCTGTCAGTAAGAACTAATAACACTTTGAGCACATCAAGTCTAAATCTTACATGGTACCATGGAAGTCAACCCAGACCTGCAAGATCTGACTGATTCCAAGGCACTTAAGAGTTGCACAGTACAGAGCAGCACAACACACTAGTTCTAAGACCAGTAACCCTTCAAGTATTTTGCAAAATACTTTGAGATTCAGCACTTTAAATCCAGCCTGAATGCCATTAATTATTTCAGATCCGCTAGCTGGAAAAAAAACCCTAACCTTTCCTTTATGAATCATTTTCCTCTTAGTTAATTTAGAGCTTTAACTCATTTGAACACAAGGGACTTTTCCTATAGATGAAATGGGACACAGGCTGTTCCATAAATTGCTACCAGGTGCATGTTGCTAACCTGGGGAAATGTTCACAATTAGTCTTCCTTGGTTTACTTCACATGAAAAACAACAAAAAAGTTCAGCATAAAATTTCAACAGCTGCTTTACATAGGGGCAAATTCTGGCACCTTCATTCCACTTAAAGAAGAAACCCAAGCTGCAACTAAACTAATTGCAATCACAGAATTAGCCACTAATACTATGAGATGGAATTAGACTGACAGTCTTTCACGTCATAAAGTGCATCACATATGGTCAGTCTCATCCTGCACAAAGCACATGCCCAACCATATAGGCATGGAAATTCAGTGTTGATGCATAGATCCCAAATACCAAATTACTAACCCCCATGGATGAGAGCTATGGAGCACCTGGGTCTCCTGTTCACCTAAATGGGTGCTGCTACTTGCTCAGCCTCTAAAGAACTTTCCTCTGTGTGATTTGGTAGAAGACTTAATCTTTGGACTTCCAAACACATGTAGGATTAGGAGCAGAAAAAGGTTCATCTCTACTTTCAGCTGTCACACCAAACTCAGGAAGACACTTGCTTTCCTTAACTCCTCTGATACTGCATCACATAACATGCAACACTTAAAGGTAAATAACTTAATTGAATCCATATGGGATTGGGACCCTAAGTGTGGCTGAAACATGAACTATTAAATTTATATTCATTCTGGCTTGACTATCAAAACTGAGTTCATTCAGCAGCAGTCCCCACCAGGATTTCTCTGCTCAATATATTTTTATTGCTATGCAGCTTGAGCAGTATTTTTGATCAATTCCTACAATCAACATCTGAACATGGTGGGTCATTATTTTTCTGCTGGCAAAACGACTTCTTTAAACCTTGTTAATCAATATGCCCAGTTTAAGTTACTGTAAACTCACACAGCCAGCTGTACAAATAGCAGGAGCTGGAAAGCAACTTCCAGAGCCACTTGGCTGGCATTGCCAGTTATGTGAAACTCCTCATCAGAAGCAAATGTGGGTTAATTGCAGCAGGGTGAATTATTAGGTCCCCTCTGGTAGCTGATGACTCTTTTCATTAGCCTGGGGACTCCAAAGTCCTGGTCCTTCCTGAGATCCTTCACTGGTAACACCTCCCTGTGCGGAGCAGTGGCAGTTAAATTGTTTACTCCTTCTTGAGATGGTGGAAAATTACTGATGTGCCTTCTCAGGGTCACCTCGCTTGCTGGGAAAGTTTTGATAATTAGAGACAAGATTGCTTGCCCTTCTCCATTATCCTGGCAACTGCAGATGAGTTATGTTCAAATGACCGTGCCTTCTTTTCTCCAGTGTAGCAGCACCCCATCACACCAGCTCTGCACGTGGTGCACTCTGCTACAGCAGCAGTCAGTACCTGCAAAAGGTGGGAGACTGGCCTTGAGAAATGGAGGTAACTAATGAGGGAAATGTAATGGGGCACCCGAGGATCTTCATTAATGAGTCCTATAAACTGCAGATCTACAGCTGGATTCATTCTCTTGCTGCACATGTTTCCATAATGCCGATTACTGCAATGGTTGGGCATTTAATTATGCACAAATCAGAACAAAACCAAACCAGGGGAGAACAAAATCTCACAGTGCTGCAAGTTGCCCTGTCAGTCACTGGGCTTCACCTGCTTTCAAGCACAGGAAACACCAAAGCTGGGGCTGTTGAGTCAGGGAGACTGCTGCTGAATGCAAGCATGGTTGTCTCTGGTGGAGCCTGCAGAAAGCACCTGGATGAGATGCCAAGTCTCCTGAGAACACCGTTTCAGCAGGCAGGGAGGCTGGATGTGCCATCTCACAGTGACTGCGAGGGAAGAGAATGTGATAAGGGAAGATGGAGAAGGGGTAAAGCAGCAACATCGTGGAGTGATACATGCTGGAACCTGAGGGAGGATGAAGCCCTGCACTTCGGACAGAAACCTGGGTGTAAGAGATGGAAGATGATGGTCCTTAACTCATTTTAGTGCCCCTAACTGATTCACTTTTCTAGGGTATTCCACGCCTAAGAATACACCAAGCCATCCTCCTGCAGGTGAAAGAATTAAAAAGGACATCCCTTCTCTCTTTCTTTAACTAAGGCAAACAACACACTCCTATATTAAATCACACTACACTACTGTTTCCTCTGAAAGGTGCAGAGGTTGGCAGACAGCATGTTCTGCACATTCCCCATTTCATAGAGAAAATTAATGAGGACAAATTTCCAAAGGATACTCTTCTCATTCCACTCTAGTTTACTGCTGGGGGATAGAGAAGATGGACAGACTGGTAGTACAATCCTGCAAGTTGACTTTCCATAAAACCAATGTGATGCTTGGAGCATTCAAAGCAGGTACTGAGGTTTCCACATTAAGCAAAGGTTTTTAAACCTGGTCTCCCCCTTAGGCAGATTCACATTCCTTGTGCTTGAACTTCTCAAGGCAGAACAGATCGATAAAAATTATGTTCTTCACTGTCTGATCTGCAGTCACTATTTCAGGTGCCACAGCTGCCACTATAAATGTCTTTGTAGTTACATTTGGGAGAGATTTTCTTCCACAAGTGAATTTTTAGGACACAACATCCCATAATTACTCAGTTCACTATTCTGCTCCAAAATCTGTCAGAGCATGAAAAAAACTCTTCAGTGTGTTCTACAACTAAAGGAAGCAGTTTATCTTGCTTTAAGTTACATTTACACGTTCTGCCATTCCCTGTAGTACATGATGAACATAGCTCTGAGTCGTGGGATTGCCTGTCAGCAATGGGAGAATCGAAGGCACTTTTCGCAATTAAGGGTAATTCACTTTAACTAGATAAGGTTCAAAGTCTCTCTGGTCAAATGGAGATTAACACAGAGACTATGTTTGCTATATCTACAAGGTATAAACCAAAAGTTCTTACTGTTAATTCAATATTCAAATACACAATATTCATTAACAAATGCAATGAAGTTTTGCATGTAATCCATTTAGTGATGGCTCCTACTTCAGTAAATTGCATATTTATTGTTCTCATTGTAAAAACCATTTATTTGTTTAAATGCTGCTATTTACTCTTAAAGCTTTTGTTTTTTCAATAGCTGCAAGCAAATATAAGATATCATCACTGAGATTAATAACAAAAATGAAATGGTCCAGTGAGCTGGAATACAATATTTTGCTATGGAAATTGTTGATTTAGGAGCTTTCATCATAATGATTTCACATCTGAACATGGAAACAGATATACTCTTACATTAAGTCTCTGTTTTTCAAAACCTTAGTGTCTAGTAGAATACAGAAAGGTGCAGCAGGTATTTTGGCAGAGCATGGACGTGTGTTTTCCTGAGTTCATAGTCTCCAGCTGGGAGGACCTGAGTGATGCCCTGGGGGATCTATCCTCATGCAGTCCCAACCACACACCTGCACACTGCCCAATCCCACCCCAGTCCCAGACACATATACACAAGCTTTTATGGAAACATGTCAGGAGTCTTCTTCAGCTATATGCTTGTCCTCATTCCTCTTGCTGCCAGTTGGGAAGGAGCTGAGGCCTGACTCATGACCATGACTCTCTCCATGTCTGCCTTCTTCCCATATATAAATGCAACTCCCAGGTGGAGCCCTCATCTCCAAGAGATTATCCCCATGAGATACAAGAGGAACCCACTGTATTTGTATACAGCTCCAGTTTAAGAGAAGGTAAATAGCCTACTGTATTTGCCCCCTGGGAGCCACAGCTCCAGTTTAAGAGAAGGTAAATATTCAACAGGAGACAAGTTCTACAATAAATAGGTCTATTTTAAACAGGTGGGACAGGTTCTGGATGGTTTTGGGGCAGAACCATGAGCTCTTCCTCTACATGATTCTGCCTCTGAGGAAGATTCCTGCCTCAACATTGGTGCTGACCACTCAGTCCCACCATCTGCTCCACCTTTCCCAATCCCATACAAGCTAGCCAGGGGTCTGCATTAGGCTCTTTCCCACCCACTGCTGGCAAACCAGGGTAGGGTGACAGGGTGATTAACCTGGAGCTCCCACATTGCTCAGACTTGTCATCTCTGTGGCTTTATACATGGTGTGACCCTATCTCTTTGCATAGTCAGATCAGACTATTTTCTGTAAAGTCTGTACTACAAGTGACAATTTCGCTTCCTTGTAGAAACTGTTTGCAGGTGTTTTTCTGGGCTAGAATACAGACAAATGAAAATCCCCATGTGAAAGTTAATGTGGAAATCCTCCTGAGAGATTAATATGAAACAACGTGCATTTCCTCCAGCAGGCTATTCAAAAGATGTCAGGCACAGAGATGCCATTCTCTTTTGCTCAGAGACACAGTAACTGTCACCAGTGAGCCACACTGGGCAGAAAGAGCATTCCCAATGGCATAAAAGATGAAGGATTTGCTTTAAGAGTAGGATCTCTGGAGACATGATATCTCCATCTTATGACAACTACTAGCCTCCTGTAGTCCCAGCTGATGTTAGGCAAGACTAGTTAATATTCGAAACTAAGCAGAAGGAAAATATATACAAACCACAAGCATTTCAAGAGAGATCACAGTACCTAAAATAGCCACCACCTCATCGTCCTGGATGACTTCTAAGGATCCTGAGACCACAAAGCAAAGAGCATCAACACTTTCCCCAGCATGATAGATGAGGTCCCCTGGGGCACAATGGATGGTCTGGAACTCCACAGCCAGGGCTCGCAGGCAGCCGTCGCTGGCCAGCCGGAAAGCAGGGTGCTCATTGAACACCTTCCGGTTCAGGTGCACACAAATATCTGCTCTCATGTCCTTCGGGCAAATTGAGAGAACCTGAATGAAAGAAAGACAAAAAATAATCAGCTGGGAATATGACACCAGGCCAGCACTTTATGAAAGAACTGAATGGATGGATCTGAAGATCCACATGGGTGGGTCTGGAAATCCAGCCATCTAGTCATTTCATAAAGTCTCTGGTGGTAGTTTTCTCCTGATTTTGGGTCATCTTTTTCTACCCATCTGCAGCTGAGAATGATGTGGAAGATGGGACTATTCTGGTACACTGTACTCATTCCTAACAGTTTTCACACATGTTTTTCAGAATTTCAGGTGGCACTACTATGTCCTGTTTATGGATATCCCTCCAGACTTGGTGCCCAGACTATGCACCTGCTGCTACACTCAATTCCTGCAGGAGCAGAGAATTGATGTACAGAGCTGAAGGAGCTTAAAGACATGCAAAGACAGACCATTCACAATAGAAAACACAACATTTCGTTCACATCCAAAAAATCCAGATTTTGGAAATCTTGATGTAGATCACCACTTACCAACACAACCAAACATAGCAGGGTTCAGTTTCAGTGAGACATACAAGGAATAACCTGCCCAGGAGGGCTTACAGACTAGAAAATCCAAAGAGATTAGAGGAAAAAGAAAGTATAATGAAAGTAAAGTTGAGTGAAAAACTGTCCTATGAACATGAAGACATCTTCACAGAGGATCAATTAAATAAGACCTTCAACTAGTTTTTGACCTTAAAAAGCCTCCCCTATTGAAACAGTAACATAAACACACCTGAAGAAAGTGAAAACCTATGGGTCTTGTTAGGTTTGTAAACTATGTTTAATATTTGCACATCCTCCTAAGCACACTAACATCTTTATAACCCTAAATGCACAGTAGTTAATTGCACTGAGAAACATATAAAAACTTGTAAGGTTTTTCTAGGATAAAAAATAGAAAAGAGCATGAGATTAAGAGCACTTTGGAAGACTCAAATACAGAAGACTGCAGATCAATAGTACTGACAATTTCACATGGTATGGAACTAAACTGGCAACTTGCTCTGCAGACAGTGGGAGAGAAGGGACACTGAGTCACTGAGTTGATTACCATTGAACATTAGCAGAGGGTGACTCTGGTAGCTCTGATTAAGCTTTGAGTCAAATGATCATGTTAATATTGAACTAATGCCACAATTTTAATTTCTGTTTAATGCTGAAGAGATATAAAACATATTATTGCAAAGCATTGCTAAAGGTCCTAAAGCACAGAATGTGAAAAGAATAAAGATTTTCTATTGTAATAATAACATTTGCTCCTTTTCTTATTTTAATATTTTAAGTCCTTTTGTGGTCAAAGACACAATGAATGCAAAAAGGTGAAGTAGAAGTTATTTGCCTATTCTCTATACTGTGACAGTCTGAGGTGAGAAGTGGCCACTGCAACCATCTACACAAGCCTCTTGCACTAACAATTTTCACATCAATCCCAGAATACCTGGTAAAATGACAGCCTAGAAGGCCTTGATTTAATGTTTTCAAATGATATAGGGTACTTGTTCAAATTGACAGCTACTCTCTCTTTCAAATCATGTACGATTTCTGAACTCCTTTTTTAAAAAAAAAATTTCAGCCAATAGCCAGAGAATCTTAGCCTCTTGCTCAGATACAAAGACCTGCAATCATCAGAATTCTCTTCCACATGTCAGTGTTTATAGAATATGACCAGGTCATCCCTCAGTCTCGTCTTGAAAAAACAAGAGACAGATGATGCTTCTCATGCCTAGCCCTATGAAGCACAGTACCTCTTTGGAAACTACCCCCTGGATGAGGTTTTCTCACTTAAAACCACCTTCCCAGAGCTACCAGACAATTAGTTTCAATTTCATTTAACACAGAGTAAGTCGATTTGGATTAATGGTATTTTTCTGTAACAAAATGTTGTACAGAACACATTCAAATACCCTGCATAAGTGTGTTTTATCAAATAAATTAATAATAAAGATATTTGACAAGACATATTCTACATAAACCATCATTTGCATTAGTAATAATGTCTTGTCTGAGTCACTGCTGAGTCCTGTATCACATTTTCATAATTTTATTAGGGGCAAATGCCAATTGTATAAACCTCTACTTACCTGAGTCATTGCATTTGCCATTAGAAGTATTGGCACACCTTAGTTTTTCAGTGAAAAACAAAGATTACTTTTGAGTTATTGTTGCACCTCAGCCCTGCTCCTGGACCAAACAGAAAGTTTGTCTTTATTACAATAAAGCAGAAACATGCCATCTTTCTTCATCCCAATAGTAACTTAATGAAAAATTCTGCTTTCTTTTGTACCGTGATTGATGTTTCTTAACATTTTTAACTACTCTTGGGCCTGAATCATGGTTATAAGTTTTTTATGTCCCTTTAATAGTTTCAGAAATGTAAGTGCTTTTGACTTAACAAGGCCATGAGCTAGGAATTCTCAAAAGTTGCTCTTAAGAAAAATATCTGTGTTCATACATGACTGATTACAAAATTTTATCTTTTAAGCTTCCAAACTGCAGGAAAAAATTGGTTAAACTATAGCAGAGGTTGTTCCTGTAAGATTCTGAGAAGTTCTAGGACCCTTTGTTTTTTGAAATGTAAAATCATTGTGTGATTTTACAAGACTAAAAGCCACTTGGATGCAAACCAGCAGATTACTTCCTCACAAATACAGACTTAAATACAGATTATTAAAAGCGAGCAAAGAATTGCTTTTATAGGCACAACAAACATATCTATTATCACACACTGCAATATGAAGGGACAGAAAAAAATTCCATTGCATAAATGCAAAGCCTATCTTAGAAAGCATAATTCAGAAACCTTCTGATGTCATGATTAAGTGATTCTCCTAATGACATATCACAGTATGGAGATATCACTTATCAACAAGTACAGCAGTAAATGAGCAATGATCCAAGAGTTAGCTAAGAACAAATATTCTTTATTTCAGTCTTCTTGTCTGCTACACTACAGGTATTGAGAACAGAGAATGAAACAGATGACAAGTAGAAGAAATATTTAATATTATAAGACTTGGCAAGATATTTTTGACTGATAAAGATAAATGCAGATATATGTAGGAAGAGCAAAGACAGACTATTACAACATTCAGCTACATCTTTACTGTATGCTCCAAGCACAAAGCTTCATGAGCTCCAGCCTGACTTGGCACCACTTCTTTTTGTGTTTACAAATACCAGTGTCTTTAATTCAGAAGGAGTCTCAGATGCCACCAACTTCTCTTCTTTTGTGCTTTCAAAAAGGACACATAATATGATATAGGATCATACAGAAGCATTTGTAAGCTAATGATAAATAGTCCAAAGACCCTAAGATCCGAAAAATGAGCACATAAGCACCTCAAATTCAGATAAATATTCACTTGAAAATGATCCCTTATTGATAATACAAGACTTGGACATTCTTAGTGAGAAATGCTCTTACTGAGATCTCAGCATTTTTAAGGCAGCATGCAACTGGAAAGATACAAACTAGTAGCAACACAGTTGTGCCCGAGTCCATATGGTGTACAAATGCACACACACAGGTGTCAAAAAGAAATTCAGTGTAAGGGAGAGGATATCCTGTAATGCTCAGTCAATTTTTCCACTGTTAAGGAAATGTGTCCAACCCATCACGTTAATAGAACCAAAGTTCAGCTGGGATGTTTGCTCTACCCTGTATATTCTTTCAGCAGTGTAGCAAAAACCACCAAGACAAATTTCTGAAGAGGAAATTTCCTTAGAGATTCCAAGACCTTTCTCAGTGAAACCTGCAGTTTATAAGGCAGGCAGGATATTAAGGTTGCTGACAGCAATGCTTTACTAACTGATGGGTTTGGAGCACACGACTTGGAGCGGGCAGTCTGCCGGGACCAGCTGCTTCTGCTGCTACAGGAGTTGCTCTGTAATAAATCTGTAGCCACAGACTCTGCAGTCAGTTTTCCCATATGCATCCAAGCAGCATGAAAGAACAGAACCAGCTATGTATCAACGCAAAATCAGTGCAGAAAGCTGAATTCTACTCAGAGGAAAATGTTTGTTGGCTGTATAAACTGTGATTCCACCAGATAAAGAGCAAGGCTCCATGATCCACACGAACAGCACACGTGTGTCCACAATGGCCTGAACCACTAAATGGCTGAGAAAGTAAACCATGTAATAACAGTTATCACTTTCCCTCTCTGCACAGAAAACTAAACCTCCTCTCAGTCAGTACAAGACAATTGCTGAGTTCTGCCATCATCACCTGGCACCCAGCTGGCACAAACCCCAGCACAACACCCAGTGCAGAGATTCAGTACAATCATCTCTTGAGCACCCCATAGCACATGCAAAATGCTGAGGGTGAGTGAACAGCTTGTGATTGCTGCTAGAGATTGGGAAAGGCAGTAACCAGCTCTGGAAGACCCACAGGGAATTGGCACAAAACATCTCACTATCTTTTCAGCTCGAGTTCTGTAAGAGGGGGAATTAAATACCCAAGGAGGTTCCATCTGATTTTTTTAACTCTCTCATCCATTTCCTCAGCATGCACAGGCAGTTTAAGATAAGCCCCTTTGAACAGCTCAAAGAACTCTACAGGGAGCAGAGATTATAAAAAAAATTCAAAGAAAAGCAAATAAATCAAAACAAAAACCACACAGATTAAGAGTGTGTCCAAACAATATCTTTTAGGACAGATTTATGGGTTTAAGTTATTTGTTAAAAAAAATCTTCCCCGGCTAGAAAACACTACAGGATGGCTTAGCAGATATTACAGAATATGTTAAGACTTGTTAACAAAAAGGGCAGAGGCCAGTGAATCATGAACATTATCTATCGTCAATCCTCTAGCAGCACACAGGATTCTCACTTTCTGGGCATTGTAGGTAGGGAACATCTTGACAGATACTCAAGTGAGGAGCTTAGACAGTCTTAGTGGTGGAATAGCAAGGACTGTTTCCTAAATGAATAACTGTAACATATAAAAGAGATACTAAAAATGTCAGCTTTGAAAATAAACAAAAC